TATTATGACCTCTTGAGCCGCAATGAACTCCATTTATTGCATTACGTCACCTACACTGAAGCCTGTTTCCTACAGTACCTACCTGAACAGGATTAAATATGAGAAACCCACTTCAGTTCTGTCGCTCAAGATAGGCTGGGAACAGAAGTCAGGAACATTCATTTCATGGATGAATTCTAGCCATACCCAATATTTACTAGGCATAAACCTTTTTCACTAAAGGGATTGTGAAATGTTTTCACTTCCGTTTAGGTAATGTTTCAATACCTTCGGTCAAACGCCACGGGCGGCGGTTATTAAAATTTATGTAAGTTTTTGGTGGGAAGTTCGTCCTCCGACTTCTCTATGGCTAACTTGTTTGGAACCATTTCATCTTAATCTGACTAAGGTATGCTCCAGATCCGTACGACGGACAAAATCTTTAGGTCTATTTCCAGAGATTATTAGTAAAAAATAGTGTTTCAGGTTCACTGCTATATCATCTATTATCTATAATCTCGTTGTTAGTTATTGCACTAGTTGCATTTGAGGGACTCGCCTCCTCCTTAAGCACTCCCGTCGAATTTTCTGCATATATTTAGTCAAATTAGGGGTCATAGTCCGCGATGGCTTTCGACATCGCAACATGACATTCCACCATGCATAGTGCACACATCGGAAAAGTATGGAATCGTAAGTAACATGCTTCGAACCTTTAAACCAGCCTTGTAACCACTGTTTATGAGTTGGAAAGTGCAGTACCCTGTCAGGCGATTGTATTTGTGCTAAGGGCCAGTGGTGGATCATGTAGTATTCTCAGGCACGGTACGTTTGTTTCTTTCCAACTGCTCTCAAATTAAATTGCGCCCACTATACCTATCTGATTTCGAAGTGATCCTTCTCACTACACATAGAAAGCATCTGAGTCTCTTAAATTCACACATTATGTTTAAGTTGTATTTCGTTTTGTGGTTTGTTCACCGGTCAAGCAAGGTACACCTCAGTTAGTACGATGTAACCTGATAACTGGCTGTTGCACCACATGGCTTCACTGCTTTAGCTTGACCTATTTCTGGTAACCACTTCTATAGCTTATCAATCGCAACATGTAAGCATTAAAGAGGATTGAAGTTCACATTCATTAGTTTCTAGTCTCGGCTTCACCAGTCCTAGTATATCAATGGAAATCTACGACTATGGTATTCTTATATCTACGAAAAATGCTCTAGGTATCTGGTTAACTCAACTTGCTCATGTACCTCTTGAAAGCATAAGTTTCTGAAAACTCAAAAGCTTAAATATTCATATATGTCCTTTTTTTATCCAGTTTCTAGCTACACGTAAGCGCGGGGTTTCATTGCCAGTTCCTCAGGAAATTCCCCTGCACTTACTGCCCAAAGCAGTAAACGTCTGTCAGGTTTTACAGGTTTGAAAAACCGAATTGATGCTTCTTTCACTGACGACTAGTTAAAAGCCTGTGCTCGTTTGCTTTTCTTCCTTTAATAATCATCATCATCATTATCAACATAGGACCAGGCAATACTGCGTAACAGTCCGAGTTGCCACACCTCATATCAGCACATCAAGTTAAAAAGTAGTGATGTGAAGGATGAAGATAAGTGAATGCAGTCAAAAGAAATATAAAGTACGAGAAGAAAGGAAAGAGGAGTGACAAAATAGTGAGATTCGGTATAGCGTTGTTAAGATGAGGATAATGTGTGTATACATCTGCGCCACTGACTTCGGTTCTGAGCCATATCACCTAGGGTCTCCAACCACTGGTTCCTCTTGTCCCGCCGACCCCAACCACCTAGTCTGCATCGTCCTACATAGCTTAAACCAACAGTCAGAGACTTCATACATTGGTGCCACGTTTTAGTCTGACCACCTCGGGCCTTTTTCCAGCCTGGACCCACCTCAGTCAACATTGTGTGACTAGGTAATCGGTGACTAGGCATACGTAGTACGTGTCCCAACCATCTCAGTCGATGAAGGTTCACAACCTCGTCAACTGACTTACCTCTTCTCCCCAAAACTCTACACCTAACTTCTGCATTACTCACTCACATGGTGACACCACGGAATACGTCCTATACTATGAAGGCAACGGTGGTCAAACACCTGAAGCCTTTTTGTATCCTCCACTTTCAATGGCCATGTTTCACAGCCATACAGTAGAACAGAGCGGACTGCTGTGCAGCACACGCGACCCTTAATAGACAAACGAATATCACGGCGGCGCCATAGGTGGTGCAAATTGGCAAAAGCCAATCGAGCCTTTTGTATCCGTGCAGAAATCTCATCGGCAACTAACCCACCGGGGTTGATCCTACTTCCAAGGTAAGTGAAGTGGTCAACACACTCAACCACTTCACTCTCTATTGTTAACCGCGGTACCACTGAAGACCAGTCCTGGAGCAAAAGTTTGCATTTGGGTGGTGAGAAACGCATCCCAAACATTCTCAAATTCCCACTCAAATTGTTCAGAAGACTCCGCATCTTGTCAGCGTCTTCACCTAACAGGACTATGTCATCTGCATATTCTAGATCTAAAGAAAATTCACCTGTGATTGGGTCAACATCTGTGTAATAAGGTGACGAGAGGGAAACCTCCATAAGAATATCTATGATAAAATTAAATAAGAATGGGGATAGTGGGCATCCTTGACGGACACCACTTGATGAGTATAGCTCCCTGGACAACTCGCCATAGGCTCTAACATGCCCACAAGTCCTTTAACTTCCTACCTTGTCCAATTAGCCACGTTAAGTGCATTACTATAATTTAGCTTCGTAACTCCATGGCTTATCTAGGAGTTTCAATATCAAGCAAAATATTAGCATCTGACAGTTTTTATCTACATGTTCATTTTGTTCAAATTCGGAACTGGAGGCACCACCGGCGGTTGACAATACCATTTTGTTATGATGTGGGTTGTAAGCCACACTTATTGTGTGAGGGCTAACGATACTATTTGGTTGTTCAAACGGTCGGTGGAGCTAGGAGCCTGAATTCACAAACCTGACAAGGAAAAAAGATATTTAGTATTCGAGTATCGACTTAGTTTACTATAAATCTGACTCTTCAGTCCCTTTACTTTTTATTCCCGATGGATTAAAAGTTCATATTTGACCAAAGACTAGTTAAAGCCAGGAATATCATGTTTTTCAAGCATCAGTGCTAAATGTTCACAACTAACGGTTACCAATGACTGTAACTTCATCGTCTTTTTCGATCCCAGCACATCTAAATTTTTAGCAGATTCATCATTGCTGTGCTTAAGATGTAAACAACAAAAAGTACCGAAGCTTATGCCTCCAGAAAATCAGGACATAATCCACTGGCATTTGATTGACCGTTTCAAGGCAGGGATTTTCCGATTCTGCTACTTGACAGCAGACTCTATCAAGCAATTGCTACAAAGCAATGGAGACACTATTTAGCAACATTTTTACATAGCGGGGATTAGGCTAACATGTATACTTTTGTTTAGAGTGCATATAGCATAAACTATAATGATGCTTTTAAAAGTTGAAACTCAGATGAGATTGTAACTTTTCTATCATAAGAAGAATATCGAGTCATTCCAAGCATGGTGAAGTCGCTCTTCTTTTTGGTCAGGAAATTGTCATCAAATGACTTAGTTTATTGACTTTCAATGATAAATCAAACGTTTTACTTATTTTTTCCTCCAGTAGTTCTTCCATATATTGTACGGATTTTTCGCTTCATTGCAAATTTTACACGCACTGTTTTCATGCTTAGCATTGTTTTTATGCCTTCAGGGAAAACGTAGAACCAGAGACTAGTAAGAGTGACTTTTGACCTGCCAGTCAATGGTTTAATAGAGCATGTTCTAGATGCACGTATGAAGCTTGATGAAGCAGAAGAGGGGGAGGTAAACGATTGTTCTGACCAAGAGGAGAATGTTTCAGGTATGAAATTCAGAAGCGTTTGAGTTACCTTAAGATCTTTCCAGTAACTGTAGTTCGTCGAAGTCACATGATCATCCATCTTCTAAACCTCTCAACAAAGTTGGTGCATCAGAAACGTTAAGCGACAAGAGCTCTGAACTGCTTACTGTAGACATCCTTCGGGAGTACGCCGTTCAACCTCCCAGTTGTTACTCTTTACAACCAGCCCAATGTACTATTTCATCAAAGCAAATAGATGCAACTGATAGCTGCAAAAGAAACTCGCTTCATGGGCACGCTTCACCAAACGAAAAACAAATTGCAACTCCTAAACTGCCCTCTGCGTTCGACCATATGAAACATTCCAGTAAGCAACTGTATTACCTTAAATGTTTTAGTTTCACATACTTTGGAGCAGGTTAGGCCTTCGCATACTTCGGCATCTGTCCAGTCACCGAAAGACCCTCTTAATGGTTTACGAAATTTGGAAAAGGTGCAGCTTCAGATGCAGCTAGGAATAACAATGAATTCAGTGAGTTACTGTCGTTTCATAATTTTGTTTTCTAAACACCCCTCTTCTTGCATAAAGTGTAAAACAGTCATGTCTTTATAAACTGCCGCAATGCACGAACTGATTTTTCTGTTTTGGAAACCTTCAGATTGATTTATTTCTAGCCGCCTGTATGATATCTGTGCATCAGCTCATTACAGTTCATTGGGATTTGAAAATAATCAAAATTCCAACATCTCTGAGTTTTTCAGAAAGTTCATTTTGCTCATTATGATTACAAAATGTAGGCACATGAAGGGTATTAAGAAACTCGAGTCTTATCAACTTTGTAAAATGTGAATTAGCTGAACAAAAAGTAGCACATCTGAAAAATGTGCATGGATTTAAATTGCTGCACAAGTACATCAAAAAACGTAAACGTCAATGAAAGGGTGTTGAATTAAAGAACAAATGGTGAAGGGTAAGATTATGTCCTCAATATCTCAGTAGATGGAATAAATACCTATCTCTATCGATTTGCAACCATCTAATGTACGATCTTCAACAGTAAATAATAACACTAATTTTTCCCTTTTATGTTATTATCATTGTCTTTATGGCTACAGTCGTTCCTAACCTTTGTTCCATGTCTTCACATCATGATCGTCGTCTTTTTTCCACTTCTTGGTATAACATTGTATCCATCCTACTTCGACCATCACCATATACTACAGGAGGTAGTAGCTCGAAACTAATACGTACTGTTCTTACTTCACTAAGCTCACATCTCCATCGACTAATATATCTCCGCCACCTACGCCTGTTTTCAGTTTCAATACATCATTTAGGAAATCCAACCACTCGTGAATTCTGTTACGAAGAAGATTGTGATCAGAAACACGTAACCTCATATCTTCCACATTCAGATATGACGCTACAACTATGGAGTACAGCAGTGACTGTTGAGCAGTGTCGCTTCTCCCACTTTCATGGGTAGCCAACTACTTTATCTTATTGATAGGAACACTTAACTTGCAGCCGTTGGATTACGGGTTCGAACCCCTTTCCGCACACCAAGGTCTGGGTAGCCAAGTAGTATCAGTAGCCCTCACACAATAATTGTAGCTCATTGCACAGATGTGCATATGGTAGCTGCATGGATTTCGGTTTTTTTCTGAACTTTCAAACGCCGTAGTTGGCACTGCTCAAGGAATGTAATTTGAGCCTTTAAATTAATCCAACTTATCGGATAAGTGAAGTAAGTATATTCGGCTGTCGCTATCCGTTCTTTTTTAATTAGGTGTCGATAAAGACCAGTCATTAAGCATTATCTTACAACTGATGAGGGAAGACTGCATGCCAAACATATTAAGATTTTCAATCAAGGGTTTCGGGAAACCCTATGTTTTGATGTCTTCTAACAGGACTACACCGACTAACTACCTAGGTTAGTTTGACAAATCTTCAGCAAATAAACTTCCAAGAAGTGAGAAACAAACATTAGCTTTCATCAGCACATCTGTGAGGAGATATTTGTAGTTTTTACCGAAAGTAAAAAATCACTTTATTTGATTCCGTAGGTTATCTCTGAGCAGAGCTAGTATAATCTATTGCAGTTGTTATTGAAAATATATTTTACTCCTCTGGAATAGTAACTTTTCTTATTTGTGAAACATGTAGTCTAGTGACTTGGCATTAGTTAAAACCTAAATTATCTCGATTTAAAAATTCGTATGAGATTTTTATTTCAGCACGTGATTCACGATACGGCATAGCAATGAAAAGGGTAGACAAAATCAACGTAGAATATCGCACAAAAGTGCATCAATTCAAGTTGCCACACTTGGAGCATAAAAGGGAAAATGGATAGGAAAAGTGTTATCGAAGTAGAAAAAGTGGATGAGAAAAGCGGAAGTCGTCCCCATATGATTGTAACTAAAAGAGCTTTTTGTATTTATTGATTGGAACTGTCAACGATGTAGCCTAGTGTAACGGGACTGTCTATTACTTTTACACACTAAGTAGTGCCTCCGTTACATTACGCAGTGGTTTTTTCCCTCCATCCTTGAACATTTCTAGTACTGAATCATCAGATGCCAACTGCTTTGCATCATTTCGCGTTTGAAACAGCCTTCTCAACTTCAGAGGTTGGAGAACCGACACCAAACTCTCACCCAGGTCCCAGCTAGATGCCGGACAACTGAAGCGTTGCTGTGGTCCAGTTGAACTGTTTCAAAGTGTTCCACCCAACATTCTAGCCATCTGTCCTGAGAGACTGTCAGAGTCCGGTCCCACCTTTTTCGGTGACGATGTCACTGGCGTCCTCTTCTTGCCGGCATCCTTAGTACGCCTAGATAAGTTGCCGGGTGTTACCCAACGCTGATGCCTTCTCCATTTCTCTCGCTTTCGCTACCCACCACACCTCACGATCATTGCGAAGACTTATTCAATTTGTGTATGACGTGATTTCGCTCTCCGTTGTTGTCAGGGCCAGCTGGAATTAGTTTTCTCGCACCAATGAGTTCGGGTGATGTTGAGGAAATCCACTGATTTTTGCCAACCTTTGAATCTAGCTTGCCAACAACAATTACTACTACTGTTTCTACAGCAGACTGAATACCACACCAGGTTGAATTGGAAGGAGACTTGGTGCCACCATCAGATAAATGCTTCGGTATCTCCTATCTAAATATACACTTGACATTCTTGTCTTTCAATCAAGTACACAGGGACTACTACTTCGTGATTATGCTTACATGTCATAACAGCCGAAACAGGTACTACATAGAGTGTCGATCTTCCACCGATCCTCTCCAACGATGTCTTATAGCGATATGACCTATCTGTACCTACTGTTTGCCTAATGCTGGTGGATGCCAGGTGAGAGAACGTCTCTCTTTGTCTTCAAATTTAGTGCTATCCAGAAACAAGTGACTGTCCCAGAAAGATTTCAAGAGATCACTGTCATCGGCTCGTTGGCATGGGATTTGTAGATATCTCCGAGGTGTTATTCTCATTCGCCCAAATTTCCTACTTGAGAGCTGAAGTCACCTGCTACTACGACCATACATGAAAGTCTTGCTTTATGCGGTGAAATCGTCAGTTTTCGATGGAAGTCCATCCTTTGTATTATAAGAACTGCAGTCGGTGCACGGCGCGTAGACTGAGACATTGACAAGTCTCACGATCCTTACTAGTTGTCAAAGATCTGTTCAGCTGGACAGCATACAGACAGCTGTTCACTGGTGTTCAGTCGAGAAGTGTACTTTCTGCTCTACGAATTAGTGCTACATGAACCACCACCAGTGAGTTCACGAATGCTAGCCGTTGAATCTTTAAACTCTCGTTAAGCCAATGTTGAAGATTCACTACACTGGCTGAGTGAGGTCTATTAAACAACCACACCACGGACGTATCTCGGAAATACAACTCATATCCATGGCTTGCGATTTCAGAGTTTTCACGAAAGGTATCTGTCGTCTGATGTTGCATAGGGTTCGCAAATTGAAAGCTCCAATATGAATTTGATATCGGGGTTCATGTAGATTATGAATGATGCTTCGCTGACTTGTATCGTTATCGATGGTAGGGAGGTGGGAGGTTGATGAAATTGTAGGAGGTTTAATATTATTGTCAAAAAGTGAAGGTCAAATTGAATGCAAAGATGGAGGAAGTTGTTCGTGGTCGAGGTTTGCGTACTGCTAGGAGTGTGAGGTCAGTTGGTACTACTGGAGTTTCCACACCATTGATGTTACAGTGTATAGATTTATTTGATGTTTCAAAGCTTTTTCATGTGACGCTGCTGTCGCTTTTGCTCTTATCTACATATCTCGTGTTGGTTATGATTACTGCGATGTGCTGTACCGTTTACGCCAAGAAATTAAAAGTTCGAAAATTTGTCTATTAAGTATGGTGGTTTTTGGCAGTTAGCATTCGTAACACGGATTTAACTTCGAACTGGATTTGAGTGGAAGTGGGAAATACTATAACCTAAAAAAGTCTGATAGTTTAAATTGTGTTACAAATCTTGAATTTGCTGTGATGCAGTCTTAATTCCTGTTGCAATTAATATTGTTACACACTGCTAGGAATATGTTTCGTGGCAGATCATGGAAGTGAGAGAGAAACATGATGGCATGACAACCGATGTTGCTTCGTCTCCTCGCAGATGCTGCAGGCCTCTTCATAAAACTTAGTAATATGAGCAATATGGTCGAAACTTGAAGAGCTGTTTGACTGGCATAAATTTGTACTAAAATTGAAGCCAGTGGTCGCACCGATAGCTGCTGCTAGTCCGGGTTGCGGTAGCGTTGCCTCTACTGCTCTGTCTGTAGCCTCAGCTAATTCCACTAGTTCAGATTGATGGGAAGGTGTAAAAATGCCTTGAACCGACTGTGGAAGGCGTTGGAGCCACAGTTGTTTGGGGAAAGTATTGCCTACCTTAGAATCGGAAATAAGCTGTCACATCTGGCGGAGCATTTGCGTAGTTTTACGAACGCCCAGCTTAAAATCTCGAAAAAGTTCCTACACCTTTCTCTGGTCAATCAGAGATACAAGTTTGATGAGGACCTGCTTCAGACGGTTATAAAGGTTTAGAGCAGTGTCATCAAGTACATCTGAAAACTCCATAATTTTCTCTGGGAGGCTTACAATGACTGCGTTCGCCTTGGTCTCTTGTCAAGTAATCCGCCTGAGGGCGGATTGTGCTTCCACACGGGCGAAGCAGATTGACGGTCTGTGTACCCAGAAGGTAGGAAGTCGGATAGTAACGGCCATTTGCGTGGGAGAATCGTTGTTCTCAGACATTGACAAGAAATATGATAAGGCACGATGTTAATAAAGAAGAACTCACGTGTAAACACAATACAAAAACGAAAACAAAACCCTCGTGTCAAAAATAAAAATAGAACAGATGAGTCACCGAAGCATATACAAAGTACTAGACACAACAAGAGAATGATACTCGGGCTCACCAATCGTAGAGGACTGAATATGTTACTATTACGTAACGCCTAACCAGCTCTACTAAATTCGATGTGCTCTACCACCTGCCTAACCAGTATCTTACCTAATGTGTAAGCACTGATACCGAAACACAAATCAAAAAGACTGCTATTTAGGAGCAAACTCGAAGGAACAATATGTTCAAATAGAATAAATATGAGAGTGATTATTAAGGAGAAGTTTGTCCAACGTATCTGGCTAATATAGCTGAGCTAGGGACTCTGAGAACGTGCGTGTTTACTAGCACAAAGTGGCATAGAAGACCTCTCGTTGGAAAAAAGTTAACTTCTTAAGCATACGGAGGCAAGCTAGACGTTCATTTAGTTAGTTCAGTTTAATTAATTTGTTTTGGCCTCAATTGCATTCTAGTGCTAGGAAGGTGCGCCACAGCTTTTTGAAATTAGCAATGTTTTTACAGAGCTGTTTATAAACTACGTAGGCGAAATTCACCTGTTTGATATCCCACTTGAAATCTTTTCCGTATTCGGTGGTTCACATTTTATCTAGACGTGCAGCTACATCGTCAGTATGTTCTTATGAGTGTCTGCGACCTTGGGCTAAGGTAATCAGGCGACCTGACATTTTCTTAACAGGTTGCATCACAGACTCGCATGTCTAGTACTCTATTGGGATGCATAATCCGTAACATTTACTTCGAAGATGCTTTAAAAACTTGCGTACGACCACTGTTAGAATACTGAGATTAACACTGAAGGATATTTCTATTAATGACAGATTAACATTTGAGGGTGTCCAAAGGTAGTCTAGATCAAGTTTAGACGGATACGAATACAAACAGGACCGGAAACCCAGATGCATGACTTCAAATCTGGAACCACTTTGCCTGAAACGACTCCAGATTAGTCTTATACTTTTCATCCATATACTGCATACATAAACCTTTAGTACCAATGGTGAATCTCAGTTCTAACAGAAACGTTATCATGATCTGCGCAACCAAGCCTGCCTAGCATCACACTGAAGCATTTTAGG